ATGGGACAGACTGGACTCGGTGCTAAAAACTTTCATCTGTTCTCACATAGGTGCCCAGCCCCTAGCCCTGAACTGCTGAACACTGTACGTGGGAACAAGAAACTGCCCCAAGGGGGAGCCCTCATGCCGCACAGCCACCTACCAGTTATCTTATGATTCTTGGCAGCTCTGCATAGTAACATTCTCAATTCATGAAGTGAAACAGAGTAAAGTGCCAGTTTCTAGGTCCATTTTCATCATGAAATTAAGGGAGGGCGAGAAGCACGCATCTCATTCTGTTCCTTCTATCAGGAACAGATAAACACAGGGAGAGATGCTGAACACAAGCCACAGGGGCGTGGACAAGAGCAGCGTCTGCACTACCCAGCAGGCCTGGCGCGGCTCTCCGCCCACACCCTCTGTCCCCGCAGCATCTCTGCCCAGTGGAAAGGAAACCAGACAGCTGTTCGCTAGATCCAGCCTCTAACACAGCGGTTTAAAAGAGGGAACGAGTTTGGACACGGCTGTGAAAGAGCACTAATGAAACCTGGGGACCCTCCCTGGGAATGCCGCGCCAACCTTCCACCTCCTTCTTCCCTCAGGTTTCATGTGTGAAAGGCGAGCCTGTTCTGCCCGAATCACCCACGTGGGGAGGGAGTAAGAGACAGGACTACCTATAAAGAGGGACAGGAAGGAATCTGCGAGGATCAACACATCTTTTATCCTTGCTTTGAAAACAAGGTGTCTCAAATTCTGGATGTTCATCACAGCTGAGTACAAACGAGACTCTCCAGTCTGTGACTTCTCCTCTGGTTTGTTCTCGAAAGCCACAGCAATACAGAACTCAACATGCAGGTCGGGAGAGAAGCACTGAGCAAACCAAAGGCAACGACTGGACCTGGCCAGTGCGTCTAAAGTAAAGAGGAAGCAAAGGAGAGCACGAAGCAGCGCCTCGATCCAAGGAGCTCCCACACGGTGGCGCCTTCGCTGCGCCAGACACACTCGTGCGCTGGAAGGAAAGGAGGAGCAAAACAGAAAAAAGGACAGAAGGGAAATGGGCAAGGAGTGGCAGAAGGAAAAAAAAGCACGGAACAGGCACTAGACAGCAAAGGCGAGGATGTGCTAAAAAACCACTTGTTCACTGCTGACATGCGCTCACAAGCTGTGTTTCCGCTGGAAGAAAGGAGGACAGAGGGCAGGCGCAGGAGCGGTGACCGCAGGGCTGCCGGTGCGGAGGCCGCCAGCCGTGGTCTCGCTCTGCGCGCCCACGCCCCACTCCCTCCCGACAGCAGCTCATTCCTGCTCCTTCTGGACCTCCTCCCTGGGCCGGGCGCCCCCGAAGATGGCGGAGTTGGGGTTGGCTACTTGATTGAGCGGCGTTGCAACTGTGCGAGGTTTAAGCTGGAGCCGTGGTCTCTGTGCTCTTTCCTCTGGAGGAGGCAAAAAACACGGCTTATAAAGAACGGATCCCAGTCCCCACCCGGGGAAAACGACCAAACTGATGCTGATCTCTACAACCCAGGCTAAATTTCTAAAAATTAATAGCCCTGAAGAGCCACTGAATCCCCAGACACCCGAATAAAGGGAAACCTACTAGTCAGCCCAAGCGGGGGGTCTACCGGCCGACCGAGCACGGCCTAAGGTGGCGAACGCTGCGGGGCGGAGCCCGCGTGCCACGGAAAGACGCCCTCCACTCACAAGTCACTGCCATACCTTCTGTTGGTTCTCTGAAATCCATGCCGGAGCCTCGAAGGGGAGGGCCATCTCTGAAGCGACTCCCCATTGGGGGGCCCGTTCGCCGGTCACCTGGGCGACTCCCCCCCCTGCCGCCTAGGAAGTCATCCCTGAAGGCTGAAGAAGGAAGAGGACGCTGAGTTACTTTCTAAACGACGATCACAAAGCTGATTACAGAGCCTGTGTGAATTGTTTGAGTTTAATTCTAAATTCTTTAGTCTGTCCAGCATTGGAAGTTTTTCCAAAACAAAGCGCATCGAAAAGGAGTCCAAATGTGAATCTGCTGGGTAATTTCAGTGCTAAGAGACTTTTTAAATAAAAAAGAATCTTAGGCGAGGAAACGAAAATGAGCTAGAAGACACATTCTAATATGGCTTAAAACAAAACAAAAAAATCCTCAAAGCACATTTTATTCTGTTTTCTAATATAAACCTATAACGTTATTAAAAAGACCTGAAATTTAGATGCAAGATCACAAGAAAAAGCTAGATATGAAGAAATACAAATAAGACGTCACCTCTGGGTGACACTCCCCATTTTTCTGTTTCTGTTGTGTTTCTGGTGTGGGTCAGTCTAAAAGCAAAGCACCTGTGTGGTAAAGAAGGAAGTTATGCGAGCGCGGCCCTCCCAGCTCGGGGCATGGGGAGGCGCAGAGCGCCACGCCCCAGCCTGCACCCCGCCCCCCTGCCCTGTGCATGTGCGTCTGCATCACAGTGACCACCAGAAGCACAGCGCACCTCATCTAGACTCCTTAAGAGGAAGTGCCAGTGTCCTCAGTGTGCAGAAGGAAAAATATTTTCGCCATGGGCTTCATTTTAAGAAGCTTACGCCTTATTTAGTTCTGTATTTAACTGAAGATCTTTCATTGAGGGAGCGTTTAAGCTAATTAACCTTTTAACAATATAGTTTATTGAAGTTAGAGTTAACTTTCAGTAAAAACTTTAAGAAATACGATTACAATTAAACAAATGAGCTCACCCCATTTAAGCTCCCAAGAGTGACAACTTTACTCACTCCAAGGATGGTGCCGCTGCTCAAAGCTTTGTAGGAACGTATCTTTAGGGAGAATCCTGAGTCTGAGGAATATTCTTCTCTATGTAGCCGATGCCCATTACTCACAGATTTTTTATTTATAAATTAGTCCACTCACTAAATTTGTTTGTCACCCCAACCAGCACCGGCCGCGCTTTTGCTGGATGTGGACAGCTGCACAAGAGCCGAGCCTCCTGCCACACGTGTTCCCAGCTGAGGTCCAACCAGACCACACCCTGCCTTCCTGCTTCAGCTTGTCCGGTGTGAAACAAGCACCCTGTTCCCAATCTACTGCGTGCCAGGTGTCTGCTCTCTTATGCTTTCTGCTGGTGATTCCTCTGCTTAAAAGGGCACCCACAGGGGCCAGCCTGGTGGTGCAGCGGTCAAGTGCTCATGTTTCGCTTCGGAGGCCCGGGGTTTGCCGGTTTGGATCCCAGGTGTGGACATGGCACCGCTTGGCAAGCCATGCTGTGGCAGGCGTCCCACGTATGAAGTGGAAGAAGATGGGCAGTAGTTAGCTCAGAGCTAATCTTCCTTAAAAAAAGGAAAGAAAAAAAAAAGGGCACCCACAGCGCTCGGGAGCTGCCTAGTGTCCCAGGGTGCAGGAGGGCTGCCATGTGCCTGATGGACAGTGTGTGTGAGAGGAGGAGCTTCCTTCAGACAGAGTTAGAGAGCTGCTGGCCACGAGCTCACTGTTAATCAATCAACAATATATTTCACATAAAGCATCTTTAAAACAGAAACACAGCGTACAAGGTCATGTACTGACTGGTTGACAAAAATATTGCAACCAGAGGCTCAGAGGAACCTGCCCTCACGTCCCCCAGGAGCAGCGGTTCACTATTCACTAATTCTGTGCTCCTAATGATCCGACAGAACCTAACCGCCGGAAAGATGGAGAATCAACTCTATCTACAGTGGCGAATTTTTCTGTTCTTCAGAGGTGTCCAGGAATTTGGAAATCAAGTTATCTGAAACCCAGTTCAGAGACTGAGCTGAACAACATCAATTTTATCAAAGCAAGGAATGAAAATAACTCTAAAAAGATTTAGACCAACAGGAGCACTGCTTTGGGGGAGAACACACCTGGATGCACACAGTCAAGTACAAGGTTCCTTACAAAGTCCTTCTTTAACAAGCAGAGCTTCTGTGCACTAAACAAGCTTAATTAGTATTCAGACATCTAACCTGATATTTTCCTCAACCAAGCTGTGAAGTGTACCTTTCCCTGTGAGTACAGAAGGAAAGTTACTCTCCTTTAATAGGGGAGTAAATAATTTTTTTCTGTTGGTGAGGAAGATCGTTGCTGAGCTAACGTCTGTGCCAATCTTCCTCTACTTTATGTAGCATGCTGCCACAGCATGGCTTGAGGAGTGGTGCTCGGTCCACGCCTGGGATCCAAGCCTTCGAACCCTGGGCCACCAAAGCAGAGTGTGAGAACTTAACCACTAGGCCACCGGGCCAGCCCCTGAAAGTAAATACTTTTTGCTCCCAGTGTTTAGCATAAAACAAACGGCTTGCACCCATGTTGACAAGGCAGATAAACGTTGACTGCTGCTTCGTCCAGGGGCACGAGACAAAGGCTGGTAGAGGAAATAACCAGGGCACATGAACATCAAGTGGCAGCCTCATTTCAAAGTCTCTTAGGATACGAGCAATGGGAAGACCATGAGGGAAGAGGAGGGTTTGACATCAACAGATATCTTTCATTCAAGTTTGATAACATTTCCAGGAGGCACACTGTTCATGAGAAATCTTGTTTTTTCTTTACAAACTTTAGTTGCACACACTGGCTATTTCTGACGGCGGGACTTTCTTACTGGCTTTCTTCTCTGTATTAATTAATTAATTAATTTATTTTACAATGAGTGTGTGTCATTTAAAAAACGGCATCATTCTTTTAAAATGTAAAAAAGATCTATTTTCACCAATAACGCATATAGGCGTTACTCGACTGTGTGGGCACTCCTGGTTTCAGGAGTCACTCAGACACTCCAGTTCACAGTGGAACTGAGGTGGCAAGGCGGCTTCTCTGGCCACGTTCACTACGTCTCTGCTTCCGAGTGAAAGGCCAAGCTAAGCCAACGGTAGAAAGCACGAGTTATGTGGGACCGTCCTTAACTCTGGGGCCAAGAGACCATGTGCTATTTCTACAGCACTAGGAGACACAAAACTGGCAGGTCCAAAGCCACCGCTCACGCAGCCACTAACTGCTGCGCCTGGACTGGCTGTGAAAAGACATTTGTTGCATGTTTCAATCAGAGACTAGCTTATACATAAAATTACAGGTTTACTGGATTATACTGTACTTTTATGAATAAGCTCGTTTCTGATTGGCTATAGGAGTTTTAGGAATTAAATTATTCAACAGACACAAGCCGTCAAGTGTTTTCTAAAGCAGTACTGGAAATGAATTTCTAAAAATTTTAGACTCATAAGATACCCTGTACCAGTTCTTCCCATACTTACCAACTCCTCGACACTGAGTGTTTTTTCATTTTCTACCTTTCTATTACAACTGACATGTTTTATCACTTACATGAATTACTTATATAATTAAAAAATAAGGTAAAGAGATGAAGCAATGTTTAGGAGATCAACCCTTCAAAGCAGAGGCCGGGCGTGCAAACTGGCCCCTTGAGTTGAGACCAGGAGGCACCTACTGGTCTGCCTGGGTAAGTTAAGAGCAGGAACGGTAGAGTGGGCCACGTCCACCACTGGGGATAGGAGTGCATGCCCTTCAGGTGAAAACAGGCCACCAGGACTGCCTTTTACCATCTGCGAGGGTGCCACCAGGAACCACAGTTATGAGGCTTTCTGTGCATTTCTAGAACCTCCACACTATTTCCAGAAGTAATAGTACTTCTGTTTGTGCCATTCACACAAGAGCCACCATGGGGCTAGCCCCCGAGAAAGACCACTGCGCGAGATGGAGACGCCTGTGAGAACAGCAGGCTAAGGAAAGGTGACAAAGCGAAGGGGGTCAGCGGAACTCGCCCACAGGGTGGAACGCTCCAGTCCTCCCCCCGCAGGCAGGTCCTAACAGAGGCTACTGCACGCCTGGGTACCGCAGGGGGAAGTGTCATTTGTGAAAGGAACTAGGAGTAGTCCGGCCAGGCGGGCTACTCACAAGAAACGTACGACAGCAGCAAGGCCGCTGAAAGAGGTAAGCGATGATACTTTAAATACTGATACCAGAATTGGAGTCATCCCGGGAATCCCAGCCACCTCTAGACTCTCGAGAGCCACCCATTCCTGAGGATACACAAAAAGGTAAAGTTGAGCTCGTATCATTACCTTGCTGCACAAACAGGGAAAATTCACTGGGAAGACGGACATCTCATGTGATGGGAGGTTCAATGAAATTATGAGAGTTTTTGTTGCCAACAGGAAAAAAACCCCTGAAAAACCCAGGCTTGCAGAAGCATCATCCATTCTTTCTAAAATTTTACACGTTAGAGAGTTCTACTAGTAACCTTCAGAGCTGTAATCAGTGGGCAGTCTATGTAATCGCAAACACAGCAAAGTTTATGGTCAATTTTAGAAGAACTAGTCACCTCTGTCATCTGGTCCACCTTTCCTGAATCCAAAGCCACCTTTATCTTGTTTTCTGCCCTCTGCAATGTCCACACGAAGCGACCGATCGCCCAACAGCTAATAATAAGGGAAAAATAATGTTAAGTATTGGCAAGAAAAAAATTCCATTATTAACATGACAGAGAAATCCTGAAGATACTTACTGCACCATCGTATGTCAAGGCTTCCTTAAGGGAATCCACCTCGTCAAATTCTACATAGCAGAATCCTGTAAGAGAAAACAAACCCCAATTTCCTCAAGGACTTCTGGGCTACAGATGTGGTGGGATCCCTGTCTGTACCATTTCCCAGAGCAGAACGAGCACCTTCCTTGCATCTAGATGACAGCAGACTAGCAGAGCCTGAAGGAGCATGTTATACTTTTCAATCACCAGAACTCGACTGGCCTTGCTCCCTCTCAGTTATATTCTAGCAGAAAGTGCTAATCAAACAAGCACTGAGGCAGCAGCTGCGTTTGTATAAAGCTTTCTTTTTCTATATTTTAACCATAATATTGAAACCTGTCTTGGGTCCTTGAAGAACTGTTAGTTCTGACTTCTGAATGGCTTTAATATAACCTAATTGGGGCTTTAAGAGAAATTTCAAATTCGATACTGAACATCTTTAAAGGAACAGGCTGAAGGTGCCTATTACTTACTGCTCAGGTAGCTGGTATAAAATTCACTTTACAAAGCTAAAAAATACACCCTCAGCAACAAGGCAATCTCCTCGGGGTGCTAATTAGAAGGCAGAGGGCCTCAGTTCAAGCATGTAGTATTGACACCTGTGTTCCTGATGCTAGATTCTGACACAGGCTCATAAGCAGAGAAGATTCCAGGCAGAGGAAACCACACCTTCCTTCTCACCTGTGAATAAGCTTCTCCCTCTACCTGCAGCACTCTAGTCCACGCCCCTTCCTTGCCGCCTGGAGTCTACATCTGGGTTAAGCATCCCCCTGCCCCAACATGCTCCCACTGCACCCTGGCGCCACCCCACGATCCTCATCCTGCGTCATGGGTACACCTCACCTTCAAACCCACTACACCAAGCGCTTCGAAGGCCTGGGTCCAGACTTCTCCTGTTCACTGTCTGCTGACTACTCCTACACAAAGGATGCACCGCTCAGCTGGAGAGGGCACCTCGCCCCCGCCTGCATCCCCTTCCCCCTACCTTCTCCCCTAAGTAGATTCAATGTTTGGAGGAATTGAGAAAACCACTCCCAAGTTCAAAGAGGCAGCAACAGCCCTGTCACACACGTCACACACTAGAGCTGCCAGAACTGAAGACGATCCTGAGACAAGCCTTAAGACTTGCTGCTACAGATGCAGCCCAAAAGCTGGCTCCACCCACACATCTGCACCCTAAGTGTGGACTCCAAACACTTGCTAGGAGGCAAACTTGGGCGGGACTTACTTTCACAAGCTTAATGTATTTGTTTTCATTGTTTGATCACTTACTATAACAAGCCTTCAGGTTCTAAAGTCAAAAAACTTTGGAAATGATAAAAATACCACCTACATAAAGAACTACTCAGATGTCTGCTTCTTGTACAGCTGCCACCATAAATCACTCTGTACTTTTCAGACAGACTTCTGGATAAAGAACGTAAACCAAATGCCCGTGTACCTTGCACCATGCACTTAAATACTGAGCACGTTTCCTCCAGGAAACGCTGAAAGCTAGAGGATAAGGCCCATCTGATTCTTCAGCCTTACTCCTCTGCTCCAGTGCCCTGAAGAGACGAATCTACAGACACTAACTTTATCTGAAATCTGAGCCAACTCTGTCCCAAACACATGCTCCAAGGTCCAAAATGTTTAGTGACAACACTTCCTAGGTTATCTTTCGGATTTTATAATAAATAACTAGATTAAAGAAAAATGCCTGAGTCAGCCAAGGTGAAACGCATCTGACACGTCCTGTTTCACCTGTTCATCCCTCTCCGGGTAACTCCTTTAGGGGCAGAGGCAGAACTGCTGTATAGGTCGGGCAAGCAGCAGATTTACTTGGGTATCTGCCACATATTTCTACAAACCACATTATGTGTAAAACATTTTTTTCCCAAGTAGAACTGAAGGCCTATGAGTTAAAGGGGTATGCTTCTTTCAGCTACTTGGACCAGGCAAATATTAAAACACTTTCATAATTAGAGCTCTCTGGTTCGCTAACACATTTTGGCTTAGGCCTTCCCCCTTACAATAAAATAAACAACGAAAACTCCCCCAAACTCACCTTTAAATTTGTCTGTGTCTTTGTCTCTGACTAGCCGTACGCTCCTTATGCTGAGATCCTTAAAGATAGCATCTATGTCACCCTGCACTGTATTAAAAGGTAGGTTTCCTACATATGCTGTGTAGGGGGGCTCTGTGGGCAGCTCCTTCTGGCTACGGGAACCATGGCCACCAGCACTGCCACGGGACCTAGGAGGGAAACAGACAGGGTTCAAGTCCACCCATGTGTTCCTGCCCCAGAGCAGGGACAAGGGGAATGTCTTCCATTCAGCCACATCACCCAGGTGAAGTGCTCCACTCTAACGACAGTAACCTCTTCGTGAAATTAGAGTAGTCCAAAATATTGTTTATGAAAAAGGTCCTTGTGTTTTGGTGACAGACATATCCATGGAAAGACAGAATCTATGTGAACATACATTTCCCTGGAAAATCAAATCCGAATGCAACATATCCTCCTAAGACTCAGAATTAGCATCTGCAAAGTGTTTACATCCTAAAACCTGAGCAAATGCCCCTCCCACCTGTTACTGTGCGCACAGAGAAATGGACCGCCAAGAGCTACTGCATTGTATTCGGGAGGCGTCACTGAGGCTGCTGATGTCCAACACGTTCCTAATACAATCGTGTCTCGCTACTGTGTGATGATGGCTAAGAATGCTCTAATAAAATTTTTAGACTTTGTGCAGCAAGTATTACGTACACACTACTCTCCACTCCACACGCACTCCTTCACCGGGTCCTTGAATTTAAGGTGCCTCTTACTGGTCCATCTAAACCTCAATGCCATTTCCTCAGCTCTAACAAGAGGTGTTTACTTGTCCACGATCACAAAGATAGAAAGCGGCAAAGGCAAGGCCCTGACTCGACTATATCACTGCTAATTTGCAGAGGTGCTGGGTTAAAAGCCAGCTCTGCCACAGACTTACGCCACCATGTGCCCCTGAGGAGCTACTCAACTGCTCTAAGCTTTATTTGTAAACTGGGTTAGCACTGACACAGACCTTGAGTTACTGAGAAATGATAAATGCAAAGGTGCTTCAGACACGCTGCCTGACACAGAATACACGTGCAGGCTAACAACTACCATTGTCACCGCCATCTACAACTGAGGTGAAAAACGGTTCACAGATAATTAACAAATAGATGGGCCATTATACATTTGTCAAAACCCAAAGAATGTACCACCCAAGAGTGAACCCTAATGTAAACTGTAGACTTTGGGTGATAAAGACATTGTCACTGGAGGTCAGACTGTAACAAATGTACTACTCTAGTGTGGTTACTGATAGCAGGACATGTGCCCCTGTGCATGTGTGAGGGCGGGGCATTTGAGGACTCTGTACTTTCTCATCAATTTTGCTGTGAACCTAAAATTGCTCTAAAACATTGTCTATTTAAATGAATGAACGGGAAGGGGAGCTAAGAATGTCAGCTAATAGATGCAGAAGGAATCGTGCAATGAGAAATCACTACTCCGCAACTACCGACTGAGGCAAGGCTCGTCTAAGAAAGCCAGAGCCACTGACTGG